CTCCTAATCCATGCTGGGCAGCTACAAACAAGTCAATTACAGCCTGATTCTCCTTGATGTGAAAGATATTGCCTGGTCCCTTGCAGCAGCAGTGTGAGGAGAGTTAGCTCAAACCCACACTCCAGGGTAACACCTCGAAATCGTGTTGGCTCTTGGCTGGTTTAATAACGTGGTCTGATTCATCTGCTCAGCCAGTGTAGCACCAAGACAGTGGAAGAAAAATAAGTCATGCTGAAAAAATTGGTGCAACCGGCCTCACACATGAGAGAACACGGACAGCTTGTTTCCAAAAAGCAAACAAAAATCCTTCCCCAGTTTGCAGGGGCAACGTGCAGCTGTCTGCACCAGTACAGGGGGTTTGGAAAGCCAAGTGCTACCCAGAAACCCCCTTCTCTGCTGGTCAGGAGTCGATGAGGCAGATGACAGACCTGCCTGGCCCACAGGGCAGATCCTCTGCTGGTGCCATTTCTTGTTACAGCTGGAGAAGAGCAGCAGTTCCTGCTCCTCTTCACGTTGTTCTGGTTCTGCATTCCACCAGAAAGGCCCTGGGCAGCTGCTCAGTGCAGGGTCAGTCAAGCTCCTGCTTGGCTCTGTTCAATCCCTTTTTTTTCCTCCCCTCTGAAAAGCAGCCAGGTCCCCATTTTGGTACCAAAGGGAACAGGAGCTGCAAGCAGGGAGAGCCCGAGGGCATCTGTGCCCATCTGTCCAGGTCCAGAGCCACTGCTCCTCAGCACCAGTCACTCGGTGTGCTGAGCTCCCTCGAGCCTTCCAGCTGCTGGGTCCCTGCCCCTGCTTTGCAAGGAGGTCCCTGCTCACTGAGAAGGGAGCTGTGAGCACAGAGCTGGTTTCCCACTGGGGCAAGAAGCAAAAGGATGACAGAGGGTCGGGGCAGCGCTGGATGCTGCCGACCCCCTGACACCCCTCAGATCCATCACCCTGCCCTGCAGCCCACCTCTGCCACCCACAGCTGCAACCAGCTTTCTGGTGCAAGGTGAAGGCTTGTGGCAGCAGGCAGAGAGGAGTCTGCTCACCTACTGAAACTTCTTTGCAGCATCGAGTCCCACAAGACACTAAGGTCTGGGTCCCCATCAATTCTGGGCACGATGAAGCCAATAGGAGAAATCTGGCAGGTGGACCTCGTGCTGGCACCTCATTTTTAACTCCTCTGAACTGTCCTGGTCTTCCTGGCACGCTACATGTCCTTTTTAATGGGGCTTTCATAAGCCTTGTTGCAGGAAGGCAGAGAGCTGCCAGCACAGGCAGCAGCCCAGGGAAGACCCTTGCCTTTTGGCAGGGTGGACAAGTGGAGCAGGGCTCTCCAGCTCCCTCCTGTGCTCCGTGGGAAGCTGGGATGTTTGGGAGGGACCAAAGCATGAACTGCCCCGCTAATGCTGGCGGGTGTGAGCAACAAAGAAGGAGGAAAAGGCTCATAATGAAAGAAAGAGAAAAGAGCAAAAAGATAACCCCCCCCTGAGCAGGCAGCGTGAGGAAGTATTAATGGTTAACTCTCATTGTGGAGTAGGAGGAAAAACCAGAATCGACAAGGGCAAGAGAAGTTTACCATGGAAAGCAAATTTGTCATTCCCTCTGGCAGATTATCGTTGTTATTATTTGCTCTCCACTCTTTGCACGATAAAGGGAAAGCATGCAAATGACCCTGGACCACAGGCACAGCCACCTCCCCGCAACCCCCCTGCCTGCCTCCCTGCACACGCAAAGAAAGAGAGGATGCTAAACACAGCCTTTGAAATTCAGGTGGATAATTGATCCTCTGACGTGTAGGAGCCCACAGGACTCCTGAGGGAGCACAGGTATAAAAAGAGGAGATGCACCTCCCTGGCTGGCAGAGGAGCTGGGGGAGAGCCGAGTGTCCTCCCTGCTCCCTGTCCCGGGTCCTGCCAGGCACCGCGGAGGGGACGGACCCGGCGGGGCACAGGGGGAGCTCCGGAGAGGGAGAAGTTTTGTTCCCAGCAGGAGAAGGAAACACCAGGGCAGGAGCCGCTCGAGGAGTCCCGGGGTTTCTCCAGGATCAGTAAGTGTGAGTCTCCCTCTTAACAGGGTAACGTCTATTTGGAAATTGGAGATGATGAAATGACACTGAAATGCATCAATAATCAGCTTTGCCAGGTACAAAATCCTTCATACTATACAAGATATTTTCGTGCCAACTTATAGTTCAATTCTTATTTCATTCTCTAGGCTGAATGCAAACGAATAGGATTCTAAGCAAGCCAGGTAAAAGCACGTTTGATGTTTACTAGCTGTAGCACATTTTCCTCTTTTGCTCTCTTGCTGAGAGCTCCTTTTCCCCTGGCAAAGACGTGCAGCTTTACTCACCCGTCCAGAAAACTGCTTGAGCCAAAGCAAAGGTGAGGAGGAACACGACGGTGTGTCCCAGAGAGCCCCAGCCAGCTCCCACGAGGCAGAGAAAAGCCCTTAAAAGGATTCCTGCTTTTCTAACGTAGCATTCCATCATAGAAAAGCCTGAACTTTGTCAGCCAGCGGGCGTGGTGAAAGCTTCTTTTCATCTCTGTTTTTGAGCCAGAGGGGGTTAAGGTTTCAGAAGGAGGAAGAGAGAGTTACCCTGACCCCGCTCCCACCACGCGGCGCAGGGGGAGTGAAGCTGTTGTGCTTTTTCTGCTGGAATGGTGCTAGAACCTCTTCATCTTCAGGGGAATTTGTTTATTCATCTTTTTTTCTTTTCCCACGTGCTGCCAGAATGGAAAGGGAGGTGTCACCTTTGGCATTCTCCCGGGGTGAGGGACAAGGCTCTGCAGAGCTGTCGGGCTGCTCGTGGGCAGGGTGACGCTTAATTCCCCAGTTTCTCCCCCAAAAGAGCAGATGCTTTGGGGAAGGGGTGCAGGACTTGCATTTCAGACTCCTTCCTGAGGGAAAAAGGGAGGCTGAAACACCCCGAAAACTGGGGTGAGAAGCAGCCTGTAGCTAAGGGAGAAAAGATGACGCAAGACGTGGCAAGAAAGGCAAAGCTAAAACCCACCAACCAAAAATATTGCAAAGAAGCAAATTGTAGAAAAAGGGGAAAAAAAAACCCCAAATCTCAAAAGGGATAAAAGGTAACGCTGGAGGAAAACCCAGCAGTGAGAGAAGAGAAACCAGGTACAGAGAGAAAGTGGTCATCAGGGCTGTATCCTAGGAATTAAAAAGGGAAGCAGACAGCATTGGGCTACGTTGGCATTTACACTGAGACTTAATTCTCAGCTCCTATCACAGCTTAAATCTCCTGGTTGGAACTCCTGGTACCACAGGCTTCTGGTGCCCCCTGACAGATGTTTTAGATCGTTTCCTCTATCTAGAAAGATCTGATTTGGGGCTTGTCTTGGAGATGTGTAGGGGAGAGGCACAGAGATGTGCCTTTGCAAGTTTGCTCTGACACTGGAAGCCCTGTGTGAGTCTCTCAGTCCCTTCTTTTCTCCCCCTGAGCATTCCTCAGCTCTCTGAGAGATCCTGCAAGGGAGCAGGTATTGGGGGTAGGAGATTCCACCTGTAAGACCCCAGGAAGCTCTGCTGGAGTGAGGAGAATCAGTGCTGCTCCCAGGGGGAGGGATGGGGAAGCTGCTGCTCTCCAAGCTGGGAACAGGCACCGGGCTGAGAATGAGCCTGTGATAAAAACCCCTCTTTCTTAGTCCCCCACCTTTCCTCACGTCTCTCCATCCCCTGCTGACACTGCCACTAGGTCTGTTATGAACTTCCACGGTGCAAGATGGGCCCCACTTGCAATCACCCTGCTCCTCAGTGAGCCTTCTGCTCACTATATTGCTCTAGGATCAGGAGAGTGGGCAGTGCTCTCTGAGCAGTGCCCCAGGGCTCACTGATGAGGTTTTCCATCAGAAGGGGTCCCCCTCCTACCACCACCACCAGTAAAACCCCCTGCTTGGAACGTTCTCTTGGGCAATGAGATGCCCAACCAAACCTTTTCCATTTGGAAACTGCTCTTTTTGCAAGAAAATACTGTTATACATTTGGAAGGGTTTTTTTTCCCCCTCTTAGGGAGATCAAACACTTTTCTGCTCTTTTCTTGTGCAAAATAAGACAGGGAACAGGGAAATGTGATATTTTAAAGATTTCTATCTGCATTCTTAAAGCATGTCTTTTGAGCAAAAGATCAATTGCTTTCAGTCAGACCTCAGGAAGAGCCTTCACTGCAATACCCCCCTCCTGCCCCTCGCTGCCGACCACAAAAGCATCACATCCAGCTCCTGAGGGTGCACGGCCTCAGAGGACCACCTCCCCTCCCACCAAAGCCTCTGCCCAGAGCTGCCTGGGGGCTCCTCTCCACACAGAGCAGCTCAGCTCTCTCGGGGGGATTATTTTGGTCCAGCCCCTCTCCCCAGGCAGCATGACTGAGGGAACAGGCTGTGTTCTCTTGTCTAACCAAGCTCAGCACGGTTGCCTTTGGCTTTGCTGGGGTTACCCCTGGGCCAGCATCACCCCTCTGCCCAGCATTTATTTGAATTTCCCTGTTTCTCCTCAATCTCTGCCCAGGCAGCTCTTACAGACAGACCTGTGCAAAGCAGACGCACGTCCCAGGGAGAGCAGGATGGGCCCCAGGGGCTGGTCCTGTGCAGGCAGCCAGGCTGCTGCTGGCAGCCCCTGCTACCTGCTGCCCTCCAGCATCCAGGGGCTGCTCCAGCCCAGGCTGGGAGCTCTCCTTCAGCACAGCAGGGGGACAGGTGAATAGAGGGGTCCCACAGTGGGACACCCCACTGCTCAGCCCCAGCTCCTGACCCACGGCTGCCACCAGCTCCCTGAGGGGTCCCACCCCCCACTGCCCTCCCTGGGGAAGACTGTGCCACACCCAGACACCTCCCTGCTGGGAAACACCACAACCAGTGGCACGGGGGCACCTTCCCAGTCCCTTTGTGCCAAGGAGGGGGCAGGGTGACCCAGAACACCACGGTGGCTCTGGGCCTCCCCCACGAGCATCTCCCTGCTGCTGGCTCAGCCCCATCTGCCTTCCAGGTGACTGCAAAGGGTGGAAGATGCTGGACAAGGCCACCCTGCTCCTGTTCCTGCATTTGGTCGCATGCTCCATCTCCTCTCCCCTCCACCCAGCTCTCAGGTGAGTGGCTGACCCACACCAGCACTCCTTTGCCTCATCTCTGGCCTGGTGCAAAACAATCACGTGCCAAATGAAGGTTGCTGGCACTTCAGAAAGCCAGATGACCTCTGGGTGAGTTGCTGAGCCTGTTTCTTTGCCCTGGTTTAGTTTTTTTTGGGGTATGCTGCTAGCCTAGGGCTGGTTTCCAAAGAAGGCAGGCACCTGATGGAGGATTTCAGCCCAAACAGTTGGCTGTAGAATGGAATGCTGGGTTCTACAAAGGGGAATCTGGCAATCTCCAGCACAGGCAGCACCTCCAGCTCCATCACTGATTAAAATCCCTGCCTGCAGGCTGCCTGCATTGAAGTCAGAACCACAGATATCCCAGTACAGGAACTCAACAGCTGCCTGGTAACATTTCAGGTATTTCCTTCTCGACTGTTAGAAGTTGTAATGTTACTTCCCAGCACTCCAAATCGACAGAGGCACAAAACAAAACTGAGTGCTGGGCTCTATAATGTGGATTTTCAGCATCCCACAGAAAATGCTTTATCCTCGTGCCCAAGCCGTGGGGTAACGACACCAGAATTGCTGGAATTGAGCTGGAGGATGTGGGAGCTCAGGGTGTTTGAGGCTTTTCCCCCCTGAAACAGCTTCAGGGCAGTTTCTAGCTGGGGAGGGTGATGGACAACACTCGTGTTACAGATGAGATGAGGATGGCAAAGAATGAAAAGCAGAACAGGGAGTAGGGGTGAAGAACATTGATCCCCACTGGCACTTGGGCACGTCTCACAGCATGCCTTGGGTTTGTCCAACAGGTCCAGCCCAGGGCCAGCTGCTGGCAAGGCTGTGAACTTCCAGCTACAGCACAGCAGCCCACTGCAGAGCCACAACCCCTCGGCAGAGGAACAGGAGGAGGATGGGTTGTTAATGGACCCCACTGAGGAAAGGTTTGTACCTCACCTCTCAGCCCTCCTGCAGCAAGAGGACACTGGTTACCCAGCCCAAGAGCAAACTGGAAGGTCATTTAGTACCCCCAAGAGCACCAAAAAGTCCAAGCTCCAGGAGAGAACCCAGCTGAGCTGCAAGCAGAGCAGCAGAAGTCTGGGGTGGTGCCAGCTCTTGCCATCATCCGTGTCCAGAGCCACGTCCCCAGCAGCAGGGATGTCCTGACAGGGGTAGGGTCACAGGTCCAGGGCTCCTGCAGTGGCACTGAGCTCTGGGAATCCATCTGCATGGTTGTTAGATCCTCTCCTTTCCACCCCTTTCAGGGATGGAGGATGGTTATTTCTGTCTGAAGCACAAAGGACTCATCCTTTGAACAGTGGGACCCGCCAAGTGGCTTCCCTTACCTGTGGATTTTTGGGACCTGGGGTCTAACCAGAGGCTGGAGACTTGGGGGAGGCTCCTGTCAGCCAGCCCCAGCCCTCCCAGGAGGTGATGGTGCTGCTGCAGAGCCTGGGCACATCCCAGCCCCAGCTCTGCCCTCTCCCCTTCCCTTCTCCTCCTCTCCATGGGTTCTCTGACCTCACCCCTCTGCTTTGCAGGCACTTCTTACTTCTTTTAGCACTGATACAAATGACCAGCCATTTTATTTGGCCTGCTGCCTCCACGTCGGGGCTGAGCTCCCTCAAACCCTTTCCCGTTAGCCCAGCCCCACCCCAAGCTGCGTTTGCAGCAGCGACCTGACACCAGCAGCGTCCTGTCTGCCCTGTCTCCCCCCTCTCACCCCCCCGGGTCTCCCCTGGGGGGCTCACACCCCGTGCTTGTCTCTGCCCCCAGGATGCCACGCCACGCCGATGCCATATTCACCGACAACTACCGCAAGTTCCTGGGGCAGGTTTCCGCCCGCAAGTTCTTGCAGACCATCATTGGCAAGAGGCTGGGGTAAGGCACGGCCCCCTGCTGCCCAGGGCTCTCCTCCTCCTCCTCCTCCTCCCGCGGGGCAGCTGCTTCCCTGCAGGCACAGAAAGAGCTGCCTAGAGGAGAGGTGATCGCTGCTGCTGCTGCTGCTCTGCGTCCCGGGGGGCATCCTGCATCCCTGTGTCTCGGATCCCCCTGATCACAGCTCTCATTAAACAGCCTCATTCATCCCCCTCTCCAAGGGTGTAAGCATCAGAGCAGCTGAGAGCCCTCCCATAATGTCAACCAGCAGTAGTATTTGCAAATAATAGCTGCAGTGATGGTTCACTGGTAGGAAACTCTTCTCCCTGGCCTGGTTTGGACACAGAAAACAGCCTCCCCACTCCCCCTTGGGTAGCTAGATAGATCCAGTGACTGCCACCAAATAAACCCAGCTACTCAGACGTGAGCAGCCCCAATCCCCCCTCTAACACAGGAGCAAATACATCCGACCGATTCCTCGCTGCAGCCAAGCAGAGCAGGCTCAGAGCAGCAGCTTCCCTTGCTGGGCTGCTCAGCCCCAGCCAAACCCTGAGTGAGGGACTACAGAGCACCTCTGAAATGGAGACATCTCCCCTCTCCACCCAGCAGCAGCAGTGAGAGCAGCCCAGAAGGGGTGCCCGGGGTCCTGACGAGGCGCCAGTCGGGCAGCATCCTGCTGGACAGTGGCTACCACCAGCACTTGGTACTGAGGGACTTCCTGGGAGCCCTCCTGCAGAACCAAAGGTAGGTGGGAGTCAGCTCATTATCTGCTCACTGCAGGAAGAAGACAAGGCCCTTATTGCTGTCTGGCTTCCAGATGTGAAGCTGCTGGGTTAAATATCACCTTCCAGGCACACTCGGGGGAAGAATAAAGCTCTTACCTGACTCCCTAACCCAGCTCTTCCCTTCTGGGGGCAAGTAGGGTGTGGGTAAGGAACAGCCTGTCCTGAGCCAGCCCGTGCCACACACAGTGCTGTCTTCTCAATCCTGTAGTTCAGTAAAATAGCAGTGGAAAAAAAGACTCTCTCTCAAGGCCAGTTATGCCATCAGTGTCCTGCTCTCTCCTCTCCCAGGCCTCAGGACATCAACAGCAGTCGGTTAGGTGGCTTCCCCAGCACCCTGGCAAAGCTCATGTAAATACTTCTCCCTTTTTCACCTCCCCAGGCTCTGGTGAGTACCATTCCCTGCTCAGTTCTGTACCTAACACACTGCTGCTGCACTGCTCAAGCCCTTTGAAGGCTCTTCTTCTGTGAAGCCAAGTCCCACTGCTGTCCATGAAAGGGCACTGGCTGTAATCTAAGG